CTCAACGAATCGGCCGAAAAATAAAGATTCATAGCACTTTAATACTTTCAGCTTCATTGGCGGAACGGTAAGCTTTGCTCTCACTTCCATTCTCAATGAACATCGGACTTCCACGCTTTCAGGGAACGCAAAAATGGCAATTCATCATTTTGGTCCCGTCACATCTTCCATGCACATAACTTCGTATACATAGTTATCCTAATTGCGAGAAGATAATGAATGAAAAATCCTGTAACACCGAACAATGGGGGTTCTCAATAGATGGGGCAACTCAATAGATTACTGGAACATGATCGGTGCAGATCTTAACTGCCTAACTGAACTTCTCAAGCTCGTTCAGCTGCGCGGTATAAAAGCTCATTCAAAGCTCATGGGTGTATCGTGTTAAAAAGCTGGTCATCACTGCAGCTGCACTTGCAACATACTTGGAGTGCTATGTTCAGGTGCAGCATTTTTTTCATACAATTGAATTGACGCGAAAATACTTTCAATTGTTCAGGCTGACGTCAGGAATGCTAAGTCGACATTAGACTTACACCATGTCTTGGTGATGGGCATCATTGTGGTTGTTATTGCAATGCTCCTGGACTGCTATAATCATGTATGACCTGTTTATTTAATGATTATTAATCGTTTGTGTATCTAAGGTTTTTTTGTAATAAATGCAACAGATGTGATAGCTGTGCAACTGCAGTTATGGTTTTCAGCTAATAAAAGATCACTGTCACTTTGAAGAGCTGGAAGAACAATTGGCAACGGTGCACGAGCTTGTAGAGAAGCTGACCATGGCACAGACAGCTGAGGTATTTTCAGTCCCATTATCTATGAATAACAGCTCGAAGAGTAATGAGAAGCAAGTGACAAAGCACTGCAGCGCTATTAAGATGACAGGACGTCTGGTGGCTTTCTTTGCTAACGGCTGATTCCAAAAACAGGGTACAGCATTGTTTTGCGAAATACAGCGCTGCGGGCAACTTGGATGTTTCGAAGACTACAAAATTTTATGTGAACAGCTAATATCGTCTTGGTGTATGTGTGTGTGGAAGTCATAACGCTCTTCGATTCGGCCAAAGAGAGTTCAAAGGTGATAAGTGATATAGTGGGTCCGACTGGAACATTGTTGATGGGTGACAAAAGAGATAACAACTGACAAGAGCTGACAAGAAGCGCTAGAAGGTGGGGGGGAGGGGGGGGGGGAAGCGTCACCTTCGAATTCATTCGAATGCTACTCTCAGTAAGGGTGCGGTGCTTCCAGTTATCTAACTTTAACACCGATAGTTTCAGAATGAAACTGAAGGCAATCGACTCAACGAATCGGCCGAAAAATAAAGATTCATAGCACTTTAATACTTTCAGCTTCATTGGCGGAACGGTAAGCTTTGCTCTCACTTCCATTCTCAATGAACATCGGACTTCCACGCTTTCAGGGAACGCAAAAATGGCAATTCATCATTTTGGTCCCGTCACATCTTCCATGCACATAACTTCGTATACATAAGTTATCCTAATTGCGAGAAGATAATGAATGAAAAATCCTGAAACACAACAATGGGTTCTCCATACCGTTTTTTCCTCCATTAAAGAAAAACACTTCTTTCACCATTCTCATAAACAATCTTGTTATCTCAAATCCTACTAGTACTTCAAGTCAGAAGACTTTGAATACCCCCGTTCTAAGTTCGTCGTGGTTATACGAATGTATTTACGAGAGGCTGTTACAGTGTTACAAAAAATAGTGTAGGGAAAGAATCAGGTCGCTTGAGTACCAAGCACGAGGTCGTACTTACCGAAAGGGTTTCCGAATTTTCGAGGATTCATCCTTCTTCAAATCGGAGAACAGCTCTTCGTAGAGGAACTGCGGAGGTTCTTGGTTTGTCCGAAGGAATGCATTAGCCACCTCCCAGATCCTGGTGTACGATGCTCACAATAATGCTTGTTCCCACGAGTTCTCAAGGATGTATTCCGCCACGATTTCGCAACAATATAAGAAGGACAGCGCTGTTCGGTTTCATGACGAGCACTTTGCTGGTTAGCCAGTTTCCTTTTTTGGTAAGGTTTCAGATTTTTTGAAAAGTGCTAAATTGTGCTAACTAATGCGTACACTTGAGCAGCGTCTAGGAGATATCCCACCCCTATAGGATTTTTTTACTGGTTGTTGTGCTGCGATCCTCCTTGCGCCAGCCCTAGCGTGTCCCGTTCGCATCGCCTGTGTACAGGTCCCACGGTTCCGAGTCTATGTATTAGTTCCCCGGTCTCAGTGAGCAAATCCTCGTTTTCGAGCAAACGAAGAGGCAGCCTTTGGGCAGAAAGAGTGTAGGCTGATACACCACAAATCATCGAATTCACAATCATCATGTTCAATTCGAATTCCTTATGGGTCTCTACAGTAGACCATAGGTTAAGCACTATTTGAAGAAACTAGATTTGTTTTGTTTCTTGTTCCTCCGCCGAAATAGTGATTTTCTGTTACAAATGTGAACACGGTTTCCTTTAGCGGGGGGGGGCACGAAATGATACCAGTTTCATTATAACTGACAACCGGAACGGTTGAATCTTTGCAAACTGGGCATTTACTGTTACTCCGTGGTCCCCGATCAGGTGGAAAGTCCAGAATCGGCCAGCCCGAGCCTACCGCTGGATCTGGAGAACTCGCTCAAAGGCACTGAATTCATTTCCTCTGGGCCGTAGTGTCTGGAAGCAATCAAAATAACCTGAGAAGGTTGTCTAGGAACCTACCAGCATCTGTGCATCAGCACAGTAGTAGTACAAAACGTATACAACTGCACAAGCGAAGCACATCAACCCTGAATAAAACCAAGTTCTCCCAACCCCAATTTGCGCACTCTTCTAGGATACATAACAGAAATACAAAACGTGCCACCTTTCACAGGTACTGGTTAGTGCTAACTTCAACCTCAATCGTTCACTGCCGTACTTATCTGCTTCCTGCTTTATGCCCCTAAAAATGCGCGCTTCAACCAATGTCATATCGTTTACATCATTCTCCGGTACGTTGACAGGGATTTACAAAGTGCTCTCACATTCAGGGGAAGCAGCCTGCAACTAATCTAGAAAACAGCCTGTCGAGATTTAATGTGATCTCCTATTCCCCCTCGAAAAGTCGGGCTGTCAAATTCAAAATATCACAGGATTTTTCGCTCAACTCAACGTGTAAGTGTCGGTTATTGTGACTGGATTGTAGAATTTGTGGAGTAAATTATAAACCAATAAATGTGTGCGCTCGTTTACAAGATTTTCTTGCTTCTCATGCAACACAGCGAACAAATTCCCGCATACAGATTGACAGAACGAATATGGTGACCATAGTGCTTTTGCTCTTCTTACACTGCACCAGTGTCATCAGTTCCTTCTGTGATACTTGAAAAGTAGATACTCACAAAGGGCAGCAATAGCTTACCTTGCACTTCACTTTCTCCTTTTTTTCTAGTGCTGCATCTAAGAAATCGTTCAGCGGCAAAACATATCCTCTTTTAGTAGTTCAGCTGCGAGTCATGAGGTATTACTGTTTAGAATGTGCCCCTACACGGCTTTTGAACGCCTTATATCCATTCTCAGACATATTTGGACGCAACAAAGTGCAACGAAAAAATGCGAAATTTCCTAGCTGTCGCGTGGTTCAAACCATCAGCACTGGCCTTACTTCGCCAACGAGAGCTTCCTATAATAATCGCTCCCATTCAATCGCTAAGCTTTCGTGCAGCTCAGAATATAGGAAAAAAATTGTCATTTTTCACGGTATCACGGTACATGAATAGGACCGTTTGCGGCTATTTTCCACTTCGATTTCGCCAGCCTTGCAAACTACTACGCAACAACTTCCCGAAGTTGCAGGTGATTCTTTACGCGTAGAGGCTCAGAAAAAGTGGTTTCAAAGATTTTCTTTCCATTGCTTATTCGGTATTTTCGAGTATGTTCGGAGAACATTTGTATTTTGTATTGGTAATGTAATGTAACTGTTTTTTTCGTACTTGATAGCCGCAGTTGTTGCTGTTATGCCACATAAGAGCCGCTGATGCGAGAGGTCCAAGGAATATACACTGTCATAGTTTGAATGGTTCAAAGACGAGTATTTTTCGAAAAAGAAGTGATGGTTGCTGAATGGTTGCTGTTCGCATTCGGCGATTTTTGTTTACATAATTGGGCCTAAGTATCCATTTAGAGTCGCCCTGGTGAAGTACCTGCCGACTTAGCGAAGCCAATTCTGAAACTTTTTTGAAGGACGGTAATGCTAGGAGCATGGTGAGCTTGACAGTGAGCTACTGGGTAGAGCGGTGCTATTTGTGGCCGAGCTTATCAAGGTTACCACCTGCGATACGTCCCACAAGGCGTTATATCGCGGTCTGGACGGACGCAGTCTAGAGGCTCCTTTTATGAACCATGCTAGTAGAGTTTTCTCCTCTTCGCTCTGTCTAGAGCTCGTCATACCTTTTAGGTAGCTCGCCGAGACTGACTTATGAGTGTTCACTATGAAAAAAAAACTTCCCATTGCGATACCTTTCATTTGGTAATATCCTCGACCCTACGCCTAATGTGATTTCTGTTACGAAGCGAGCAGAGCGCTGTCCATTTGCTCAAGGCCTCTGCTTCAGTATGGCCTCAGACCAGCTGGCCATCAAAACGTCAAAGACAGCCCCGCGCTCTCAAGTAGTACATGGTCTTCCTCCTTGGGCAGGTAGTTCCAAGCTAGATACTATCTCACTCTCGCGACTCCTCAGCGAGCGAGAAGCGAGCTAGAACCGCTCAAAGTTCTAGTTCTAACGCCTGCTCAGTTGGACCGCCTCACTAGCTAGCTGCCCTCTGACGGAGAGCCGCTCAGTTGTTCCTTGTTGGGACGGCAGTCATTAATCGGAACTGCATGTATTTTTTGCTGACCGCGCTCGTGCTCGTAAATAATTCTGCTCTCCTTCATCACATTTTATTCATTGGGAGCACGTACAGTCAACAGCAACCCATCTCGTAAGGTAAAACGCGTAAAAATCACGAATGATGCAATTTCTGTGGTGCAAAAGCTCGACGCACTTCACTACACTAAAACATGCTCGCTACCGTAACCCTAAGTTCGGACGCCGGCTTTTTAAATGTTTCCTTTTCTTTTCAAGAGTTTTTCCTCTATGTTTCTGTTTTTTTTTTGTTTTCTTCGCATTCGATGATATCCACTACTGGGAGATGTGACAAAGTGATTTGTGAGCCAGGGCTTGCACAGAGACCGCAGGGAGGTGTGACTGTCAGGTCGCGATTTTGTTTATGGTGTTCTTGAGAGCTCTTGTTTCTTTTTTCCTTCATTGAGGAATTACTTATCAGCTACTGTTTCATAATTGATCAGCAATTATCCTTGACACTTTTATCGCGGAAGCTGTCTTTAAGCGAGCCAACGTATAGACCTGCCTTCTTCCAGAACCCATCAAATGAGATATGCCATCAACGGCAAACTCTTTTTTAGAAGGCAAGGGTGTGGTGTTCCCGATGAGTCAAGGCCAGATGGCTATCGGTTTTTCACAAACTCTTCGGTGTGTTGTTAAACCAGCGGCCACCAGGGCTCACTTGACAATTCTGGGCACACGACTACCAGTCTTGTTCGCTCTCTAACCGCCTTGTTGACAAGTGGATCTGCCATGTTGACGAGTGGAAATGCGTAGGCGTAAATGGCCGATCATGCTTCATCGAATGCATCCACTGCCGAGCGGAGAGGGTGTGGTGGAAAGAAGAACTTTTTACATTTGCAGTTCACGCACGATGAAAAAAACTATGTCGGGATGGTTACCCGTTTCCGGAAGAGAGACGGTACTACCTCATTGTCGAGGGAGACGATCGATCATTTTTGAAGGTTTCTAGACAGGAAATTGATCTCTGTTTTCTCTGTTGCCGCTCTGTAGCACTCCGCAATATGTAATCTACCTTTGGCTTCCCAGGAAGCTGTGCTGTGCTAATTCCGTCACCTTATGCCACGCGGGACTGCTGGTACCTCAAACTTTCGGTAACTAAACCTCATCATAAATTACAAAAGGGATACAATGAGAAATGAACTGCTCTTCTACTGCGAGCTGGCCTCTCATATACGCTTGACCTAGGCGGAGCTAGCTCCATGTTTCCATCACAATACCAAGATCAGCCAACTGATAGTTACAACTTACACGATGAATCATAAATAAAATGTCTACGAAATGAGCCTAAGAGTAATGACAAAAGATAGAGAGAATTCTCTATACATCTCACTCAGTCGTACTATTTTACAATTGCAAAGCTTCCTGGCAGTAACAGAAGACCTTCTGTGAAGGCATTAGAGACGATACCCACAGTGTCATCGGTGATGCCGAGAACGTCCATTTACTGTGACGGAGTGAATTGTAACTTCTGATCAGAAAACCTTGTCTTTCGAAATTGTAAGTACGCCCAATAAGTCTTGTTCGAATTGTTCGGCAAAATCAGCAATGAAGACCCAATAGTCTAGATGAACTGATGGTCTCAAACACTTCCCGACAGGCTCTAGCTACGTGCGTGGTCACGCAAGTATGAACGTATAACGCCGGAGGCAAACCGAAAGGTAGACCCTTAATTCGGATCAGCTTTGCCTTATACTGAAAGCTTCCGGTGGTTTTTGTAGATAGGGACTGCAAAATAAGGGTCTTTCATATCTATTTCAGCCAAGTACGATCCCGGTTGTCCAAGTCCCTGATCATTTCTAGTGATTCGAGCTCGAAGTGAACGTGTGCAATGAACTTGTTGAGTGGTTTCAGATTGATAATAGGGTAGTGGGGCCCGACCCTTTTAGGGATGCAGAAGATGCTGGATAACCAGACTTCTTCGTGCAAATTTACCACCTCTGTTTCACCCTTTTCCAGCATTACTTGCACCTCTCTGTAGACAGCCGCGAACTGAGACCCTCCACAAAAGGTGTTCCGTTTCTGTGGAACGATCACTGCTCAGAGAATTGCATTCTTGAGCAACAGCGAAGAATCTACCCGATGTCATCGGCTCCACACCGTAACTCCTGACCACTCGAACCGTTCTCCCGCTGCCTCGTTGCGAATGATAGTCAACAGGTTTATGGCATTTATGCATGCTAAAGGCAATGCCACAAGAGGAAAGCGCTCATATATAATAACCTTTCTTCCATTCCAACATACATTCGCTGTGCATGAGTCGAAAAGTTCTATAACACGAGCTTGAAGTTTCTTTGTCTCCAGGCCTGCAATCTTGGAGGCCTCACAAATACTTGCGAAAAATTAGATTTTCTTTGGATTTTTTTCCTGTAACACGCAAACTTTCCTGTGATGGAAGCTCAATTTTTTAAGGCAGTCCTAAGCCCGCCCTGTGAGTTTTCCTGTCTAGTAGCGGCGGAGTGCAAATCTGGGTATCCTGAAGTGTCCGATAAAGACCTGCATGAAGGATCAGTATTAAGACGATGATGAAGGCAAGCTCACTAGAACACCGTTTCTAACACCGTTTCTCCTGCGGCGATTCTGTAAAGACCACCATCAAGCTCGACCCCGCTTTCGTAGCGACGTGTGCTCCACATTAACGTCTCCCTGCCGCTGGCCCTCTGGAGCTTACCCGTCGTCCAGCAACATCTTTTCCAGTACGCTTGGCCATTCGGCGTCTAATCCGACATCAGAAAAGGTAATTACAAAGGCCAGGTAAGGGTAAAATTCATTAACATCAAGGCACGAGACAACTAGGCAAAATAAAAGGTCATCGATCGCGGAGGCTATCCCCGAAGAAGCGATACCAAGGGGGAGAGTGGGGACCCATTTAAGGCAGTTGGCACGATGGTTTCCTACTTAGCCTAAAATGCTAGTAGGGCGCTGTATAGTGGGGAAATGGCGAAAGAACGGAGTGAAACGGTCAAAATCCTGCGAAGAAAAAGCCTCCGTTCTCAGACTTGTAAATCGATTTCGGACGAGTTTCCCGTAGGCATCTTACCAATCACCGCTACCGAAGATACGGCTGCATATGTGTACCCATGTATGCATGCAGCATCACGGCCGCTTCATACCAATCCCTTCGCTTCATAATTTGCTTAGCAAATGAATGAATACGAGCGTCAGGAACGGTCGTCCATTTGTGGGCGGGCGGGCGTGGCGGGCGTTTGGGACGTAAAGTTGTGGGATAGGGCCCTTATAAGGGCACCTTCCTCGGGGAAACCGCTATGCAGCGCCTGCCCAGGGTCGCGGAATTCTATCCTGCCAGGAGTATTGATCCTAGTCGTCTTGGGGATTTATCGTGCCAACTGCCTTTCAATGGTAGTAACTGTGACCTCATGACGCGAAGGGGTGCCCCTAGAATCACAGATGTAGGCGGCAGCGGTAACCTCTAACAAGGCTGGCAGAACCGCCCTTGGTTTCCCGAACCCTCCTTTGGAAGACCCGGTTCCTGAAAGCCCCCCTGAGGAGAGATCTCTGAGCATCTCGACAAGTTGGCGGGCTATGGCTAGAGAAGGCGTCCGAGACTGCCCTTTCAGCACAACTGGAAGGGGGCTAACAGCCGCAGGAATGACGGCGACGAGGTAAGGAATGAGATTGACAAGGTTTAGAGACGACGGTTCCGATGGGAAAGGAGGGTTGGGTAGAGCAATCACCACTGCAAGCTTAGAGAAACAAGGAGTTCTGACGCTTTGACGTACGTGACAGGCACATTGCCTTTTTGGCGCGAAAAGATCAAACGGTCAATAGTGGAGATCGCTAGGAGAAGACAGATGCCGAGTAGCCAAAAGCATATGTAATTGAAAGAGCAGAGTTATATCATATAATAATATCGACTTGATGCCGTTCATGCGCTCCTATATCATGCGTGTAAACCATCTTTAAAAGCGTCGTGGTTAGGCAAGATAAGAATGTTTCCGGTATTTTTCTGCAGTGGGCCATAGATTTTGATGAAACGGTACAGTGTCAGTTGTACAGTGTAAAGAAAGCATCACCAGAGATAGATATGAAGCATTCTAGAAAAGGAATAAAAGTTGGTCTCCAAAAACACTGTCTAGATGTCTAATGGCAGAAACGAAATGAACTGAGTGAGGTTTTGATCAAATGGTAATCGCGTGTGTTTCCCGACCACACTTTCATACATCACCACTTGGTACTATACTTGCTGGTTTGTTCAAATTCGAGCTTCCCACCGGAGGGTTACGCCACTTGGCCAGTATTGTGGTGTTGATTGCAAGTTCCCGGCTGGAATTCGCTGAAAGGAATGAGGACTAGCGTGGCGTATGCATTTCAAAGCTATTTGTCATTTTGTAAAGCTCGCTCCTGAATTCAAAAGCACCGGCCTAGTAGTAGTATAGTATAGTATGTAGTCCGCTTAATGCACTGAGTACACTAGGCATAATTGATAACTCCACTTAATGACGACAACGCTGATCACAATACATTCTCTAAAAAAAGAAACTTCCCACAAATTCTTTGGAGAACATTCAGAAAAGATTAAACGCAAAAGTTCGTGACGACAGATTGTAGGTATAAGAGGTCAATTTAGAACGACAAAAAGTGTTAGGTATCTGAATATTGGGAAAATACGCAGAAAAAAGTCCGAAATGCCCCAAATATAGAATTTAATGCCTTCCCCTTGACGTCCATTGAATGAGAAAAGAATGTTTTGCTACAATTAACACTTGTCGTCATCATAACGGTACCAGCTTTTTATCTAATCATCTTACTCTCATCATTCGGTATAGAGAGTGATAGCATAGTGGCTACTAGCTAGTAGGGAGAAGCCAGTGGGGGTCGGCATGGACTAAGAGGTGCCCGTGGGCTTATTTCGGTCAGCCTCCAGCGCAGTTCTTGCCAATTTTCACTTTTTGAAGGTAATACAACCTCCAGCATAGCCTTCCGGATCACCCCACACTTGAGAAGTCATAGCCACATTTTGTCGCGGAAAGTGCCTTAAAAAAACATGGTGGAACTAGTATCACGCAACTCTGCCATGCTCACAGATAAGAATCCCATGCCCCTTTCTTAGTCTTTTTCATCTCCAATTGATCGAACTTCGCCACAATCCAAAATATCTTTTTCCCAATTAGAGTCATGAAGAAGATCCCGTTTGTTGCATCTGTTGCATGTTGCATTTTCAAAAGAATAAAATATGGCAAAATGTATGATGGAGTCGTTCAGCCTTGGGGAAATCCAAGCCAAAATAGCCTAGCCGCTCACAGTATCGTCATTGACTCTGCACCCACCACGATATCGAAATTCGGGGAAGGGCAGAGCACTGTCTTTCCCACCCGCGACTGGGTGATGCCACTACCGTGCCACGAAATGAAACTTCCGCCTTCTACAAAAGAAAGTTGCGTGAAAGCAGTCAATGCATTGCGGGTCTCAATATGAATTTTCAAGATGCTAACTAGACAAGAAAAAGGGGCCAAGTAGAGTTATCATCACCGACTAGGACTTTTTGCCGTCGACTTTCAGCGTTGAAAGACAAGCGAAGACGAAGGGAAGTGCAAGTGCCTGAGACAGAGGCTAGGGTGTCCTAAGAGTTATCATCCTACTATTCATAGCGTTGGATTTTCGTCACCATTACTGAGTTTGAGCGCACTGAACAAATAATAAGAGTGTGCTGTGCTCTTAATCTTTGTAGTGAATTCCCTTTAAGGCCGCTTATAGATTGAAAGCGATGCCTCGAAATTCTTACCAAATGTGATGTCAGAATGATTTGTTCAATGTTTATTTTCAGCTCTTGCGCAATATTATTTACAGTGTCGCATTTCGGTACGGCATTACTGACATTTCGATGTTGACAGCCGATAAAATCACTATGTGCAATACCAATGAGGTCTGCGTTGTGCTGAAAATTTCCCGTGAGTATGTCCAAGGACAGCGACATTTTCAGCCTTTTGACGCCTTTTTGGTCCACTGGTCCTGAAGAGTACGGAAGTGCCTTTCCGACTGTTCCTTCTCGCTTTGTCCCTCCGATATTGCAGCTTGTAATGTTGTCAATCTTGCTGACTCCTTTCGAAGGACAACGAACAGCAAAGCGCACATAGCGAGGATGTAATACGGAAAAATCTGAAATATATAATATTATACAAGCACTATTCCAGTTTGGCTGACGCGCAATGCTGTGTTACGCACTACATGGTGAACCACCCTAATCGTTGACAGGACTTTTCCTGTTTCATAGATACCAACAATCTTTTCCTATTTCTCCTGTTAATGATAAGTTACTTCCAGTTCCGGAAGCACCTACCACTTAAATAATCCGCGAAATACGGACTATTCGGCCGTCGGACAATTTTCAATGATCTTCCTTTTAAATCTCGAATAGAAAATAATGGCTTATGCAGCTTAGAAATTGCAATTTTTACTCGCCAAAGTTATTAGCTCATCAAAAATCACGACGCATCTTCTCTCATGGAATCCGAGAGTTCAAATTCCTGATCTGTCGCTATAGAAACTTACGTGACATCCAGCACCCATAAAAGCATTACTAACAGAAATTACCCCGAACACAACTCTCCCTCTTTCCCCATTCTAATGGATATCATGCCTGTCTTCTCGATGAAACAAGAAACTGCTGCTTGGTAGATGTCGTTCACTTACATATAACGAAAGCACTCCGATACCGTATTCCTTCGGCGTCAGACTGGCTCGGAGCTCACGAATTGTTATTGAACCTTGAAAGCGAAGTACTGAGAATTGCACAATGTGCACGGATCTAATCACATGAAAGAAGTCTGACCTAGGAAAAAGAGACAGAAAATGATGAAATGCAAAATGGCAAGTGGGAAGAAGATCCGTATAGCCCTCAGGTTCTCGTAAATTTGATATCGAAGTGACAGCTCATACCTCCTGGAACTTTACAATGAGTATCGATGACGCGAGATCAAAGGAAAGGTATTGAAGCGTACCCATTTCTGAGAGTTTTTGCATTGTGATAGTAGCAAAATGCGAATGTAATCATGGCCAAGGCATCAACAAAGAACAAGGTCTTGTAGATCAAAATCATACGCCATCTCGTTGACAACGGTATACCACCACATTGATACTGTAGCTCTCCTGGATCCACCTCAGCAAGGCCCCATGCTACACTTGAAATTGAGCCAATAACCTGAATCTGTGTTGTTCACCACTATAGCAGTTAAAGGCAGTTGGTTACGAATAAATCCCTAAGACGAATACCATAGCCGGCTGAAGGAGGATTCGCGGCTCTAAGCGGCAGCGCCGCGTAAGCGCCTTGTGCAAGAAAGGTACCCGTCGACGGAGCTATCCGCGACAGTCCAGTTTTAGTCTGTTAGGGGGAGGGGTCTATTCGCGATTCTCAGGAAGATGTTGGATCCCGACGTCGGCCTCCCCATCCAAAATGACGGACTCAGCTGGTTGACTCGTATTGGAGCAGCGAAGGTGTTATGAGCGCTCGGTGGCTGCATACTGCTATATGAGTGCTAACTCACGCCGTACCTGCGTTAGCAGTTCGCCTAGGGGAATTTTTCCGAATTTCCTTTTGAGTCAGTGGAAACAAAGACTTTTGACCGTTGCATCTCGTTTTTTCGCTATTTTCCCCCTAAAGAACATCCTGCTAGCATTCTAAGCTGAGTACCACATTATCGTGGCTTCGCGCCCTCGCTTTTCGAGATTTGACAAGGCCTTATGTCGATTTGGCTAGAAAATAAAGCCTGGGCACATACGAGTTGCCCCTCAAACAGGGCACATTTTCGTTTTGGATTTATCATAAGGAGTTCGTTTTGGATTCTCGATCAGGGAGTCGTGTTCAAGTCTACAGGGAGAGGGAGGGGTCGTAACTCGGGGGATGATTCTAAGCGAGATCGCTGAGGGCTATAGAGGCCTGATGTTAATTTTGCTTGAAAATTAAACCTGGTCGGCACATTTTCGCTTCGGATTTCTTATAAGGTGGTCGTTTCAGTCAGACAGTCCCAGTTTTAGTCTGTTAGGGGGAGAGGGATCTATTCGGATTCTCAGGAGATGTTGGTATCAATAACTGGGTAATCGTCTCCATGATTCACAGGGAAAAGGCAGAGCGAAAGCTTCCCTGCAGGGCTGAGCATGACGTTCGCTGACATGAAGGGACATGAAGGGATATCGATACAGTCCGCTTGTTACTCATGAGCATCAAAATCAGCACGACCACCACGACTTTCGTGATCGAGAAGACTTATGCTTGTATGAAAATTGGTTTCTCAATTTTTCCGAGCGCTTTCGCCCAAAACAACACGCCACCTATTGAACATCTGTAAAGCACGGTAAAGCTGACCAGCCATAGACCCCCTTCCCTAAGTCTCACAGCTCCCAAATTTGATTTTTTGCTCTTACTATTAGAGGTGGAACGTTCGACATTCAAAGAGAACTACGTATGTATGGAGGAAAGACTCACTACAATTATTGCCATGATAGGTCCAAGATGACGACCGCCTTTCTCGTAATTCCGCAGTCTATATGTAGCTATCAAACGTTCAACTGTCAGAGAGGCCTGAAAGAGATGAATGACAGGAAAATCCGTGCAATGCTACGTACTTTAGGATTGCTTTATTCTTATAGCTGCTGTCCTTCCTAAAATAGGTACGTGCTTTGAGGTCACAGTCCGCTTACAGCTATTCATAGCTTCACAATGAGGTCGGTCGAATCTTAGAATAGTAATTTGTCTTCGGATCTCTTCTTAGCCGGAGGAATAAATAACATCTATTTTCATCTATGAGATGTTCGGGGAAGTAAGAGCGTGGATGCCCTTCCCAAGCAGCTTGCACTATGCACCAAAAGAAGAGAGACGGTTACGCGACCATCACTTTTAAGGAGGTACATGCGCGTTTGTTCTGTTGTGATAACTGTAATTCAAAGCCGCAGTCCGCGCTCTGAAAGTTATCACAAAAGTGCTGAGGGAGAGTAACATGCGTAATGAGTAGCGTACTAGCACGGTAAGCGTTAGGTGTGGGATCGAGGGTCGCCTGGCGTCCAACTTCTGCCCATAGCTAGCATTCTTGTGATATGTTCCGGTGTTATAGAACCGCCTGTAAGTTAGGCGCAAGGTTAGTTGGGCCGCGTCCATACCCTGCGACTCTTTCAGCTTCAACACGTTCCCATATTTGGATCAGTTACTAAACCTAAAGTCTAGTGAACGCCAACCTCAGCCAACATAAACCCGATGATGCAACACGTAAGCGGATAGAAGGACCACGCACATTCCACTGTGTAGAATATCCTCGAGCAGGCATCCGTGGGGAAAAGGATAAAGTACAGGTGAAATAACTGAAACCATACGCGATTAATCATACCTTCTTCTGCCTGATTCCTCGAATATCAACTTGTCTCTTCAAAAAACCGATTTTCCATGGAAATAGTAATAGCTAAAGATGACTCACACATGTAGCGATCCCCATTGTACTGAATGCGATACCGAACATGAAAAGAATCGAGATGAGGACCTGAAATTGGACTTGATGGTGTGACACTGGAAATTAGACTTCAGAAGTACTACTCTTCAGCAATCTCCACGTTATCCCTTCTTGTAACCTCGGCATGATGTCACATGTTCAATTACTTCTGATAACGAGGTTGTTAGGTGAAACCTTTTATTGGCCTAACGTTTCGACCTTCTCGTCTTCTTCAGAGGCCAAAGGTTTCACCGTGCGGAGCCCGGCTCACGTGTGTAACAGTTAAACCACTAAGGATGAATAATTCATCCTC